ATATATATTATTTACTTAATAATATATATATATACTAACATATATATATATATATATATATATATATATATATATATATATATAATAAAATAAATTAAATATCCTATGATATTTTGAAAATATCATATGACATGCTATATTTTTTATATATTTAATTTACTAACGTTTAAAATAATTTATTATAATTTTAAACAACATATTTGGGTCGGATATGGATATCCGTGAATATTGATGTATCCGTCACCGGAGAGTTGTTTCACAAATATAACAGATCTAGATTTACGTACTCAAAAATTCAAGAGTATTAGATTTGTGTGAATCCTTATTGTGAGTATATTCAACATAAATATTATAGTTCGATGAAAAATGAAGATCTAAAGTTGATTGCTTGTAAAACATAAAACTAGAAAAAATAAATCTATATCTATATAGAAAAAAGAGAAATAATCTTACTGATTTGCATAATGGACACCTCACCAAAAAGAGAACATGTTTTTTCTCTTATTTACGGAGTGAAAAAAGCAGGCTCGCCCAATCACAAATATCCTAGGAACCAGAAAAGTTATGTGAACTACCATGAATTCATTACAAAATTTAAAGGCTTGAAATCACAATGCTATAAAAAAGAGAAAAACACATACCTATATTAATCCACATGCGTTCAAAGGGTTTTCAAAAGATGATGAGCGGCGTTGAAACTCAGATTCTAACTTTTCTACACTTTTGAGAGCTCTAAATTTTGTATTAGCGGCGGAGAATCTTAAGAAAAGTAGGGTTTCAACATGTGAATGGAACGGCGGATTATATATTGCAAAATTTGGGCCTTGAACATTTGATGGTGTTTAACATTTAGCAGCCCATAAAAATATAGTAAAAAAAATATTGAGCCAAGTTATTGAGCCACTTCTATGCGTTCCAAGCCGAACTAAGTTAGGATAAACCGATATTTGAATAAATTGGTTGAGACTAATACAAAAGCCTTTGGATCAAAATTCATTCTTACATACATAAGAAAACAAAGAAAAAAATAATTTCTTCCATTTTTGATCAAAAGACAAAAAACAAAAGTTAGAACTTTGAAATCCATTTAAAAGATACTGTGAATTTTGAAATTTAAAAACAAATCACTAAACGAATAATATAGGATTGTAAATAGTATTTATAAATCATAGAAACAATAAGATTGTTATAATTATTTTAAAGCTAATGATTAAATAACATATGATTTTTTTTAGATTCTCAAATCTATTAACCTGCATGATTTAATAACAGCTGAAGGATTGTGTGGTCACACTATTCAAGGTATGAAAAATGTCTGGACAAAATACCCGAATCCGATCCAAAAACCCAAACTGAACCTATACCCAATAATTGAAAATACTCGGATGAGTCTAGGACTTATTAGTTTTGGATACCAGAACCCGATCAGGTATTATCCAAAATCCGAAAAAACCCGAACAATCTGCTGGTCTATAAGTTTTTGTGTAAATATGTATCTCTTAGGATTTATCATAAAAATTACTTAGTTTTAAAGACGTGGATTTGTAAGTTGCTTTGAACCTTCAATGGTTTTTGAATATTTTCTCTTTGATTTTGATTAGTTTTTAACATTTTGTTTGGGTTTCCTAACTAAATTGATTTCAAAGTGTATTTCCGTTATCAGGTGTAGCCCGAACCAAAACCGATGGGTGTTTATCCAAACCCAAACCTGATTAATATAAATACCCGAATGAATCTAGTATTCTTTTATCGAAATACTTGACCCGAATCCGATCGAGTACCCGAACGCCCTGACTAATATGAACCATAGATTGACTTAAATTACTTTAATGGGCTGGGCTTAAAGCCTTAAACAAAAAAGGCCGAGATAAGGTTACAACTTACAACTTAGAAATGAGAATACTCTTCAAAGGTGCATTTTCGTAATTTAAGTATCATAGCTGCGATTTGGTAATTAAACGCGAAAATCAGAAACATGTAATTTAAAGGCTAGGCACGGCAGGAGCTCCGTGACCTTGCCGGCGATGACGGTGGCTCATTCACACCGGTTCTCGACGGCTAGTAACTCCATTAACATAAGCTTGCTTTCGAAACAACTACTTCAGCTGGGACGAACCAACAACAATTCCGAAACATTAGCAGAGATCAGTCATCAAAGAGAGCTTCTAGTGTCTTCACTCATCTCGAAGCTCGATGATTGCATCAATCTCAATCAAATCAAGCAAATTCACGGCCATGTTATCCGTAAAGGTCTCGATCAAAGCTGTTACATCCTCACCAAGCTAATTCGCACTTTAACCAAGCTCGGTGTTCCCATGGATCCGTATCCTCGCCGTGTAATCGAGCCTGTTCAGTTCCGGAACCCATTTCTATGGACTGCAGTGATCCGTGGGTACGCGATTGAAGGTAAGTTTGATGAAGCTGTTTCAATGTATGGATGTATGAGGAAAGAAGAGATCACCCCTGTTTCTTTCACTTTCTCTGCTCTTTTGAAAGCTTGTGGATCAATGGGAGATTTGAAATTGGGTCGTCAGTTTCACGCACAGACGTTTCGACTTAGGGGTTTTTGTTTTGTTTACGTTGGGAATACGATGATTGATATGTATGTGAAGTGTGGGTCTATTGATTGTGCGCGTAAAGTGTTTGATGAAATGCCTGAACGAGATGTGATTTCGTGGACAGAGCTTATAGCTGCGTATGGGAGAGTTGGGAATATGGAATCTGCTGCGGAGTTGTTTGAAAGTTTGCCTACGAAGGATATGGTGGCTTGGACCGCTATGATTACGGGATTTGCTCAGAATGCTAAGCCTCAAGAAGCTTTAGAGTACTTTGATAGAATGGAGAAATCGGGAATTCGAGCTGATGAAGTTACTGTTGCGGGATTTATATCGGCCTGTGCACAGTTGGGAGCAAGTAAATACGCTGATCGGGCTGTCCAAATCGCTCAGAAATCAGGTTATTCTCCTAGCGACCACGTTGTTATCGGATCTGCGTTGATAGATATGTACTCAAAATGCGGAAATGTAGAAGAGGCAGTAAATGTGTTTGCTTCGATGAACAAAAAAAACGTTTTCTCTTATAGTTCGATGATCCTCGGTCTTGCTATCCACGGGCGGGCTCAAGAGGCTTTAGACCTGTTTCACTACATGGTAACGCAGACCGCGATAAAACCAAACACTGTAACATTTATTGGTGCTCTTACGGCTTGCAGCCACTCGGGACTTGTTGACCAAGGACGTCTAGTATTTGCTTCTATGTATCAAACATTCGGTGTTAAACCAACACAGGATCACTATACTTGTATGGTCGATCTTCTTGGCCGTGCAGGGCGGTTACAAGAAGCCCTTGAGTTGATTAAAACTATGTCTGTAGAGCCACACGGAGGTGTATGGGGTGCATTGCTTGGTGCCTGCAGGATTCACAACAATCCAGACATAGCAGAGATTGCTGCAGAACATTTGTTTGAATTAGAACCAGACATTATCGGAAACTATATATTGCTCTCTAACATCTACGCATCAGCTGGAGACTGGGGCGGTGTATTAAGAGTACGGAAACTGATTAAAGAAAAGGGTTTGAAGAAGACACCTGCGGTTAGTTGGGTTGTAGATAAGAACGGTCAGATGCATAAGTTTTTCCCGGGAAACCTGAACCATCCTATGTCAAATAAGATTCAAGAAAAGTTAGAAGAGCTTGTAGAAAGATTAACGGTATTAGGGTATCAACCGGATTTAAGCTCGGTACCCTACGACGTGAGTGACAATGCAAAGAGGTCGATACTGATACAGCACACCGAAAAGCTGGCTTTAGCATTCTGCTTACTCACAACAAGCAGAGATTCTACAATAAAGATAATGAAGAATCTGAGGATGTGCCAAGATTGTCACACATTTATGCGTTTGGCGTCAGAGGTTACAAGGAGGGTAATTATAATGAGAGATAACATGAGGTTCCACCATTTTAAAAGTGGAGCTTGTTCTTGCGGTGATTTTTGGTGATCATCAAGGTTGTACTCAAAACCAAGTTCAATCTTCAGAAGCGCCATGGATCTGAATCTGACCATAGTTATAATGTATTGTTATGTCACTTTGATCTTGCTTGATCTTCATTTTTGGTTAGCTAAAGATTAAATTATAGTCAGACATCTTCATTGTAATTCATTTTTCACAGTTTCGATCAATAAGACAAACACGTTTATATCGTTATCGTATAAAGTTTGGTATACAACAATTGAAGTCTTTTTTGGAAAAATGGTCCACGCAAAGATGGTATATTCGGTGACGCGAGAGCATCGACATGTCGTTGTAGAGTGCACACCACCGTTTTGGTTTGTCTTTTAGTGTACGAGAGAGAAACGCGTGCCGTTTTATGAATATGAAAACAGCGAACAGTGTCTTTTAAATTAATCTAAACGGCAGAGACAAATCTCTGAAGGAGCCGATTTCTACGGAAGTCAACAAAACGCACCGTCGCTGCAGATCACTTCCTTGTTTTTTTTTCCTCTAATGAAAAAAAAAACTTTGAACAGAGCAGAGAACAAAAAAGTCACGAAAAGCAAAAGAATCTCAAAACTCCTGAGAAGAAAAAAAAATTTCGAGCTTCGTGTGATCGATAAGGTAACGTATTGCTCAATCTTCATACGAATTTTTGAATTTGCTTCTTCAAGCTCATCTGAAATTGAGATGTTTTTGAGTTTTCTCCTGATCTCGATGTGTGGAAATTTTGAATTAGATTTGAATTGCGATCTTGAGAGATTCGTTGTGATTTGAATGTTGAATTCGATCTTACTAATTGGGGAAACTGTTATTGTTTCCTTTATCGGGGTTTTTGCTTCTTCAACGATTGGGGTTTATAGTTTCCCACCCAATGTTTGCTGAGTTCTTAAGCTCTTACTCGTACGTATTTTGGAATTAAGAAGTTGTTTCGTTGTTACTGCGTTTAATGTTCAATGTGCTAAGTTTTATTCTGAGAGTGGTTTTGATTTAGATTACAATGTCTTCGTTAATGTGAAGTATTGCTTAATCTGTCGTATTTTGCAGTTGTATGTGTGTAAACTTCAATTAGAGATTCTGAATTTGAGGATGGAATACTAGAAGAGTTTTGTTTTTGCTTGGAAGCAAAAAAGAAATGAAGCGTTTTGTTTACATTAATGATGATGAAGCTTCGAAAGAGCTTTGTTGTGATAACCGCATTTCTAATAGAAAGTATACGTTGTGGAATTTTCTTCCGAAGAACTTGTGGGAGCAATTTAGGTACTGGTTCTATTTGATTTAGGTAACATTTTAGCAAATTTTTTTAGTTTTGACTTCTCTGATTGAGATGATTGATCTCGTTCTTTTCAGCCGGTTCATGAACCAGTATTTTCTGTTGATTGCGTGCCTTCAGCTGTGGTCGCTTATCACCCCTGTAAATCCTGCGAGTACATGGGGTCCGTTGATATTCATATTTGCCGTCTCTGCTTCCAAAGAAGCTTGGGATGATTACCACAGGTATCTATCAGATAAGAAAGCAAATGAGAAAGAAGTTTGGATCGTGAAACAGGGGGTCAAGAAGCATGTATGAATCACCTCTGAAAGATTTTTTTTGTGGTGATTGATTTTTAGGTGATATTTTGACTTAACTGTACTAGTATTCTGTTTGTAGATTCAAGCACAGGACATTCAGGTTGGCAATATTGTCTGGTTGCGTGAGAATGATGAAGTTCCTTGTGATTTAGTTTTGCTTGGTACCTCTGATCCACAAGGTGTTTGCTATGT